AAAACCTGTTTTTAGAGGTTTTTTTCATTTTTCTCATAGAAGACTTCATTGCAACGCCAATGAGGTGGCGTTGGTCTCATTTTGTAAAATTTAATTTCCTATAACATTTATTTAGAAGTTTTAACACTGTAAATTTAAAAAAAAAATCTGTTGTTTTCTTTTCTTGAAAAATGTGGTTATTATGTAGAAAAAATCATATCTCCGCAAGGGATTAATATAAAAACATGCGGTTGTTCTCATTCTACTCAAAATTTAATAGGTTAGGCTCGAATAGGTTTTTTAGATATGTATTTTGAGACATGGAGCCATTTGGGAGTAATTCTTGAAAAAAAGCTTTAAAAACTAATTTAAAAAACACTATGTTTTTAGAGGATTTTTCGTTTTTCTCAGCGCCTATGTATGAGGTGGCGTTGGTCACATTTTACATAAAATTTAATTGCCTATAACGTTTATTTCGAAGTTTTAACACCGAGGAAACGTTTTAAAAAAGCTGGGTTTTTCTCGTAAAAACGTGGTTATTATTTTTTTAAAAAATCATATCTCGGGGCAAAGGATTAAGATAAAAATATGGTTGATCTCATTCTATTCAAAATTTAATGCTCGAATAGGTTTTTTTTATATGTACTTTGAGACATGGAGCCATTTGGGTGTAATTCTAGAAAAAAAAAAAAAACTGAAAAAACACGGTTTTTAGATGTTTTTGCGCTTTTCTCATAGGAGGCTTTAGAGGATTTAGAGGATCTAATCTATAGGAATTTTTGTTCAGCATTAAATTTCGTATAAATCCTCAAAGTATATTATTTTGTTTTATTTGGTGCCACTCTGTATATACATCTATAGGTATAAAGCTAATGTTTGTATGTGTTTAACGATAAAAATGAAAACTACCGAACCGATTTCTATGAAACTTTCACACTTTGTTTTTATTAGTGCCGGGCAGGTTTAGATTAATAGTTTAATAATGGGTATCATAAAAAAAGAGAACTAACTATTTTTATTATCTACCTGGGTAACACTGGGTTATAAAACTAGTTTAACATATAAAACATAAACATATTTAAAAAAGTATATATCTATATAAGAAGAGAGAGAAAAAACTGTTTATAATTGTATCGTCGGATAAAATATTTCTTTATTGCAGGTTTGTGTTGAACATATCAATGGTAATGCTTATTACTAACAGATAAAATTCTATAAATACCAGACTGAAGTAAGTAATTATATTTTTTATCTTGACCCACTCTATTCCACATATGAAAAAATTACTTATAAAAACTATATTATCTTATCGTGAAAATATTGTTGTTTTTCTATTCTATAAGACAGGCTCCAATAGCCTACTCACATAACAAGGAGCAACTAAAGCTTCGAGAGGAGCTTCAGTTAGCCAGAACTTTGGGGACGCATGCTGATACCATGACCCCTAAATTCAGTTTTGACAAAAAATTTCTTACCAACCTTTGGAGCAGACTGGGAGAAAGGGATTCTAGTTAATGACCATATCTGGTTTACCTGAAAACCGAATATGGGCCAGGAGCTGGCATTTATGGAAATAAACCAAGGGCTGGAATTCATATAAGTCTTGGACAATATGCCACCATCTTTCAAGCACAAACTGTGTCTTTTGAACACTGTGCCAGGGAGATAAAAAGGCTCTACTCAAATGGCCATTGTGGTTAAGTCCAGAGTCGTTTGGGACTGTGCTAGAACATGCCATATATTAGGGAAAATAACAAAATTACCCTTTTCTGGGTACCAGGGCGCACAGATCAGAGGGGCAAAAAAAGAGGTTGATAAATTCGCCAAGAAAGTTCAATGAGGACACCTAATGGCCCTGAACCTTTTGTGGCTCACCACGAGGATCCATTTAAACAATGGACTAATATTAAGTTCTTTGTTTAATGGGAATGAAGCCTGAGACAGGCGAAAAATTTTGTCAAAGGACGATTGGCAGAACTAACTGGAAAATATAGGATGTGCGAGGACTAGAATAATAGTTGGATCTAGCTAGACACTGCAAAATCTGGAGGCATACGTATAGACTCAGGGAGGCAGAAACAAGCCTATACAGGTATTACCTGAAACAGAAAAGAAAAGAAAGAAACAGCGGAACATGTCCTCTTTGGTGTGAAGGCCTGTGGGCTGAGATTCTTAATCCTGGGAGAGGAAAAGTCAAGACCTGAAGGATACACATGGGAGCCCTTGATAAAGCTTTTGAGTGTGGTAAAAAGCCTCAAGTTTAATGAGGAGCCCTAGGCAAAAAAAAAANAAAAAAAAAAAAAAAAAAAAAAAAAAAATGGAGATGCACAATAGACCAATACTGGTCATGGTGCACAGGTTGTAAAGAGGTCGACTTCTATATAATCTCTCTATCTAAAGGTTTTTATTTTTTTTATCTTGACCCACTCTATTCCACAGATGGAGAAAAAAAATCACTTCTCATACAAAGCAGTCTTTATTTTTTTTTAAAATATGGATTTCAGGATGCTGCCTGCTCTTCCTCTTCAGCAAGTTTTATTAATTGTTAAGTTTTTTTTTAATATTTGATGTGTTTTTTTGTATTTTTAAGTCATAATAACTAAAGAGGTGGAGAGGCAGCATCCTGAAATCCATATTTTTAAAAAAATAAAGACTGCTTTGTATGAGAAGTAATTTTTTTTCTCCATCTGTGGAATAGAGTGGAACAATATAAAAAATAAATTATAATAACAATAGAACAACAACGTTATCACAATAAGATAATATAGTTTTTATAAGTAATTATATTTTTGAGTTTTGCTTTAGTGTTTAGGGCTGGTAAAAAAGCCCGAAGCTTAATGAGGAGCCCTAGGCAAAAAAAAAAAAAATGGAGATGCACAATAGACCTATACTGGTAGTGGTGCACAGGTTGTAAAGAGGTCGGCTTCTATATAATCTCTCTATCTAAAGGTTTTTATTTTTTTATCTTGCCCCTCTCTATTCCACAGATGGAGAAAAAAACACTTCATAAAAAACAGTCTTTATTTTTTTAACAATATTGATTTCGGGGTGCTGCCTGCTCTTCCTCTTCAGCAAGTTTTATTAATTGTTAAGTTTTTTTTAAATATTTGATGGTTTTTTTGTATTTTTAAGTCATAATAACTGAAGAGGTGGAGAGGCAGCATCCTGAAATCCATATTGTTTTAAAAAATAAAGACTGCTTTGTATGAAAAGTTTTTTTTTTCTCCATCTGTGGAATAGAGTGGATCAATATAAAAAATAAATTATAATAACAATAGAACAACAATATTATCTCGATAAGATAATATAGTTTTTATAAGTAATTATATTTTTGAGTTTTGTTTTAGAGTGTTTAGGGCTGGTAAAAAGCCCCAAGCTTAATGAGGAGCTCTAGGCAAAAAAAAAAAATGGAGATGCACAATAGACCAATACTGGTCGTGGTACACAGGTTGTAAAGAGGTCGGCTTCCGTATAATCTATCTATCTATCTAAAGGTTTTTATTTTTTTTATCGTGACCCATTCTATTCCACAGATGGAGAAAAAACACCACAAAAAGCAGTCTTTATTTTTTTAACAATATTGATTTTAGGGAGCTGCCTGCTCTTCCTCTCTTCAGCAAGTTAGTTTTATTAATTGTTAAGTTTTGGTTTTGTTTTTTTAATATTTGATGGTTTTTTGTATTTTTAAGTAATAATAACTGAAGAGGTGGAAAGGCAGCAACCTGAAATCCATATTGTTTTAAAAAATAAAGACTGCTTTGTATGAAAAGTGTTTTTTTTTCTCCATCTGTGGAATAGAGTGGATCATTATAAAAAATAAATTGTAATAACAATACAACAACAATATTATCACAATAAGATAATATAGTTTTTATAAGTAATTATATTTTTGAGTTTTGCTTTAGAGTGTTTAGGGCTAAGTACAATTAATCATATGAAAAATCCATGGAAGGGATTTTTAACCTAAAAGAATCATATCTTAAAAATTTAGTTTGAACTGTTTTTGGTACTAAGATACTTTTGATAGGACTTGATGGGACTAGATAGGACAGCATATTCCAAACGACTAAGAATTATGGAGCGAAATAATTTGTTTTAAATTTTATGTTTCTAAAGTGTCGAGCAATGTCAATCACAAATACTTACAATTGATCATCCTTATTAGTAATTTTGCTCGCTGGGAAAATTCGAGGGCGAGATTAAATGTTACACCGAGAACTTTAAATGTTGTCACAGTTTGTAATCGCAATTTGTTGCCAAAATATGATGAATTAAACTTTTTTATTACATCTAAAATTTATTCAAATTAGGCTCAAGTCCATTTTGTGATCACGATTCAATAAAATTAGAAAAGCTGTTTTAAGTGTTTTTGTATCGTTATCATTATTAAATACATGGTGCTTGGCGAGCAAGAAGAGATTATTCCTTTTTTTTTTTTTTTTTTTTTTTTTTTTTTTTTTTTTTTTTTTTTTATTTAATTAATTTTTCCAGGTTAAGAAATAAAACCACCCACAGAATGATTTTTTATTCGTTTTCCTGGTCTTTGACGTAGGTGCAAAACTCTTGCCTTTTGTGTTTGAAATCGTTGTTTATTGTATGTCACAAACCGATACAGTAACTTTTCATAGCCGCACATTTTTAGAAACATTCAGAAGTTGACGAAGTATTTCACCTGTTTTGTAACTGGATGATGGGTAAAATGGTTTTTATTAAAACTGAATTATTGAACAATTTGTACATTAAGCATTTATATATTTTTTTAAATATAATTATAAATTTAATTTAAAATTTAAAATGCTCACTTTGTTTAATCGCAGAAGAGAGCGTCCAGAAAGAAATAGATGGGTTTTTTATAATGTTATATTAAATTTATGTTCAGTTATCAGTTTTTCATGGAACCTTTTTTTTTTCAAACCCACCCCAACCCGCACGACTTTTCATTTCACTGTACCAACTTCTAGGACCTAGGTCACACCCATCCAGACCAACACCTATATAATAATCAATAAATGTGTGTGCAGGAAGCTGAGCTGCGTGTGGATGTGTTGCAGCAACATGCAGCACTGATAGGAGGCCCCAACACGACCTCGTGCCCGGTCTGTCACAAGATTTTCCTTGGGACAGAGGCGCTGATGGATCACATGAAGCATTCGCACAAAGACCCCAACAACCCGACCGGACCAGTCACAGGTAAAGCTAATAGGAAAATATTATTTACATCCTTAAAAAAAAAATCATATAGATAGTTATGTGACTCCCAATATTATTTATTAATAACGACATTAATCATAAGGGTTGTAACTGCAAAGAATGTGTGAATGAAGTTTGAAAGGATGAGATGTTTACACCCTTGCGTAAGAGCACAATATTATGGGAATTAAGCATGCCATGATTTTCAGGCGCGGTGGGTTATGGCGACATGACGGTGAGCCCGTATATCGCGAAACGAAGGACGGCGAATCACCCTTGCCCTGTCTGCGGAAAGCACTACGTGAACGAGGGCTCGCTGAGGAAACACTTGGCCTGCCACCCGGAGACTGCACAGTTTGCCACCTCCCTCAGGATGTGGCCGTGTTCGGTCTGTCAGTCGGTCTTTACCCACGAATCAGGTACATGGCACTTCGATAAGCCTTTAAGTACAAAAATAACTCTTAATCGTTTTTCCAGGTCTTTTGACTCACATGGAGCATATGCGGATGGATCCCAAGCATCAGTTCGCAGCTCAATACGTCCTGTCGCGTGCGGCTGCAGAAAGGAGAGAAAGAGAGAGCCTGATCGCCGCAGCGGCAGCCGGAGGACTCAACCTGGCTCTCACGGGAGCAGGCGTCCAGGCGGGAACTGGTCCCGGAGGACCAGGCGGTCAGCAAGGAGTTCCCAACCAGCAGCCGGGATCGCCGTCGGCAGCGTCCGACAGCTCATCCCAAGGTGGTGAAGGGAGACTGAGCTCGGCGGGATCCGACACCGCCCCTAATTCCACCTCACTCCTCCTGCATAACAACAACAACAATAATAACACCGCAACCGCCAAACTCGCAGAGCTCATGGCAGCGAGATCAGGTACTTCTGTTGTTCTTGCAAAAAACACTAACGTTTAACAAGTTTGGATACATTTAAACAAATACTTCATGAGCATGATCGATTCTATTGAAATTTAATAAGTTTTTCAGCTTTATTTTCAATATTTTATTTACACCATACTTGGATGTTTTCAGTGGTCTAATATTGAGTATTGGTATTCTTGCAATTTTTTTCTTTTTATAACTAAAACATTTTTATTTATATTCTATGGATAATTAACATTTTAAACAATTGGGTAGGTTAATTTATGTATTTTCTATATATTTTATATAGGGAATAATTGTTATTGATAGGGAACATAGTTTAAGAATGGTAATCTGTCAACATTTGTTATGTTGGAAAAAGAAAACGAAGTAATGTATCCAAATTTTGAGCGATAGTGTAAAAAAAAAATATTTATTGTTTTTCTTTTCTGTAATTTGTTCAAAATGACTGATTACCGACTGTTTTTTTAACAGCTGCAAATTTACTATGTTCAGGGCTAGTCGAGGCCGGAGGGAGTAATGGACATCCTTTCCTAAATCAAGCTGCGAGTCAGTACAGTCCGGACGACCTCCAGCGTGCCGCAAACGCGCTGATAGCCGTCGGCCAGCAGCAAGCGGCGGCCGCAGCTGCCGCGGCAATGGGCTCTGCTGACAGCACCAGCCCCGCCGCGTCCGTCGTTCAAGTGGCCGCTGCCAATTTCGCAGCCGCCGCAATGCGAATGAGCTCGGCGTCTCAACTGCAACAAAACCAACAAGTGCACAGGTATGAGGTGAGTTATGACAAAACGCGTCCTTATCTGACGATGCGTTATTTCGTTGCAGTAACGGACAGGTGGGTTCCAATGCGGACAGCATGTCCTCGGCGATGCAGCTGATGAACGCGGCCGTACGAGCGTCGATGACGTCCATGGTCATGGAGAACAACCACCAACTGCAATCGCCTCAAGAGTCGCCGGCGGCGCTGAGGATGCAGGAAGTCATACTAAGGTCTCAGGCGGAAGCGGCAATCCGGCTGGCTGTGACCCAGGCGGTAGTCGCGTCCACCTCCTCCGACAACGGGATGCGAGGAGGTAACGGAAACGGAAACGCAGGGACTGGGAACGGGAGCCAGGGTAACCAAGGCGGCCAGAACACACCCGCCCCAACCCCTCAGTACCACCACACGGGGCAAGTCTCCCCTGACCTGACGGAGGCCCTCAGGCTCCAGGAACAGAGACTTGAACAGGCCTTAAGACTCCATGGCGATCCCAGAGCGTTAGGCTTCTCACTCTCAAACCCACCTCAACATCATATTAACCCATGAGGGTTCTCCTATTTCTGAACTAGCTCTCTAACTGTATAGTTATTATATATTTAGCCAATATTGTACAAAAATGAACTAATTGTTGTATATATATAAGTATTAAGTCGGTGTGGACTGCTTTTTGCTGAATGACCTGTTGGCGGGTGTATTATAAATTCAAATCCTCTATTTGGGCATTATTAATCATTAAGGGTATTTTATATTATTGTGTAAAACTTATGGAATTTATGGCTAGTTGGATATTATTGTGGTTCAGGTAATAATGTAGAAATTTTGACGGATTGGTTTTTTTTTAATATATATACATATATATAAAGTGACGTTCCGGCTAGCTTGCCCCGTTCAACAGAAGCGGTCCACACCCAGGCCCCTTTCACTCCCCTGAAAAAAAAAAATGAAAAAATCATCCACTATGCCCTGCGTCCATAGCTGCCATAGAGGCCCCGCATCTCACAAAAACACACACATACACACGAACACGAAGAAACGTCAAATTCATCCTTTAACCGACTCGGAATTTAGTAAATTTAGCGTATTTTTGAAAGGGAAAAAACAATGAAACTAGAATATCAACGAATAGTGAGGTTATTTTTTAATTTCGATTCCTTTTGCGTGTACGCTTGTATGTATGAAATAATTGAATTATTATTAAATGAACAAAAAGTGGAAAACAATTATAAATTTAGAGCGAAAAAAATACGTATATATATATAAAATCATTTGTTTATATAATTTTTAAATTATATATATATATTTTAATTATATTTATAGAAGAGCAAATTTGACTGATTTTAAAGGTTTTTTAATTCTCTTGATTTTTTATTTGTTATAAACATGGGGATTTTGCAATTTCTTTTGTTTTTATTTTGTAAAAAAAAATTTTTTGTATGGAAAACTTTAGATTTTAATGTTAATTCTTATTAATTGTTGTAATGTTTAACTTTTTAATTTTTAAATATCGTATTTATTTCTTCGATAGGGGTGTGAAAATTGCATATTTTGAAAAGAAACAAGTCCTCGTCACATCAAAATATATAGAGATGTTTGTTTACATAGTTAATATATAAATTTTAAAAAAAATTAGTGGTTTTGAAAAAAAAAATTATTTGTCTAGGCTAAAAGTTTAAAATGGCGGTATCAAAAGGTAAATACTAATATGTTATAATTTTTTTTTAAATTTTTTTTTATTGTTTTATTGTTGTTTAATTTCTGTTATTTGAGTTCCTCTTTCGCAGTTCGACATTCTTTGGAATAAGAATTTAAAAGGTAGATGTTGCTATCAGCGGGTTGTACGTGGTAATAATGGAAAACTCCTTCCCCTTGCCAAATAACTAATTCCTGAGGGGATGAAAGATCCCTGCATTGTTGACAATACTTAGGTAATTTTTTTTTGTTTTTTTTCTCAAACCGTCCCTTCCTTTTTAACCCCTTGGACACAACACAGCTCCTCTATATTTTTCGCCTCTGTAAATAAAATAGAACCGGTCTATACTTGTAATAGTGTAATAATAATATTATTATAATAAGCAAAAGTATGAATATAGTTATTGTATAAAAAAAAAGAAGGAAATAGTTGAATATTTGCATCGCCTTCCGCTCAACGAGACGGGAGGGTTTTTCTTTTGTCGTGTTGTTATTTTTCAGTTGACTTGTACAAAACTTGTACATAATATTATTGCTATATCGGATAAAATATTGTCGTAACACGGCCGTTTCAGGACGGCCGGAGCGACCATATAAACGGGTTTTCCGTTTAAACAATCAAAGTACCGGACTAGACGATTCAGCTCGAAATTTTTGGCGAGCCTCCTCTTAACTCTGCTTCTTATTTTATCGATTCAAAAAAGTAAATCGTAACAAAGTCCCAACCCGAATCCCAGCCTCCTTCAACCTCACTCTAAAAATCAAATCACCTTGTTTCTTTTATTTTTATGTTTTCTTTTGATGTTTTGATTTTCTTTTTTTTCTTACTGCTACTCCCTTACTAGACCTTTATTATTTATTTTCAAAGCTAAACCGGAAAAAAACTGCAGCTCATTAGAAAAAAATTCTCTCGAAAAAAATAACAGGAAAGAAAAGAAATGCAAAAATATCCGTATAATATACTAAAATTCAGTACAAATCAGTACAAAATAGTCATTTCACACTATTGTGTACACATAAGCAGGTTTAACAGAAAAAAATAAAAATTTCCACATATATTGTAATAGTACCAATGCGCTTCGGCTCGTGTTCTCGGACCGGGGTGCACCATACGCAAACACTTCACGGACATAATGCAATAGCCCAAAGCCTTCCAGTCGGACGCTGGAAGTGCTCAATATCTCACACTTTTTTCCCAATGACGCAATAGTAACAAAGTGCAGAGTTGCTGCGGCATCTCGCACCATTCACAGACCGAAATGAGAATCAAATTTGCCGGTGTTCAACGCATAATAGTCTGACACTATTGTGTACGGATGTTGTATATATAAAAAAAAAAAAAAAAAAAAATAGAAAAAATTACATTAATAGTATGGCACTATTATGTACTTATAGACCGCAATAGACCGTTTGTACAAATAATGGTTTTATTTTTCCCGCCTCTCGTGATTGGTCTATTCGAGTCATTTTATTTGAACGCTGCAATAGCCCACTGTGTCCTCAGAGACGCACCATAACGCAATTGAAAATGTCATTATTACAATAGCCCAAATACGCGTTTCAAATGCGTATCTTACACAGGCCGAGGTCGCGAGATCCCGGCCCAGATCAAATAGTTTGTTCGAACCGAAAAAACAAAAATTTTCCACACAACTCGCGGTTCTCCCGCGACAATAGTCAAACCGGAGGGCTCCTCATCGGGGAGCCCTTCCACACATCTCAACAGTGTCTATACATAATGTCAAATACTATTATGTAATAAAGTATTTGCATCATTTCGAGTCGTTTTATTTTTTAGGAAATAAAACAACTCTTCCCTCGGCGGCCAAAGAGCCGTTTTGTATTTTTCAATAGAATACAAATTTTTTCTCATTAATTAAATGTTAAGTTACAGATAAGCATAATAATCTCATACATTTCACTTTTATCTATCATAGTTAACCGGTATTTGTTTGCTGTGGTTTTTGATTTTTCAAGTCGGATGTGTTTTTGCACCCGGAACCGAAAACCCCCTGGATTTGTTGAATTGAAACCCCCTAGCCTATTATTGTGAATGTTGACTGTTTGAAGAAAAAAAACACAGAATCACTCGTGATTTTTAGTTGTAATAGTTTATCGTTTTATCCTCTCTGTATTGATAACAGTAGTACAAACGGTTGGGACTAACGAGCAGCTTTTCCAGACCCAAAATATTTCAATACGATTCAAAATTTTAACAAATGCATTTTGGCTTTTTTAAATTTAAAAAAAAAAACATCTGCCAGTTAGTTCCTGATCCACATCAAATACAAATAATTAAACAATTATTACACAAGAATTTAGTACAATAGCTTTTTCTTCTACAATTATAATTACGTTAAGTAAGGAAACAATGTTAATACAAATGTTTTTAAATATTAAAAAGTGCAGTCACCGATCCATGGTCTTTGTTCACATTAATTGTTATTTTGTAAACTTTTTTTTTATATTTTAACGCTTACCATTGTTGATCTGTTTTACTGTTGTGTTTACAACTTTTTAGTTGAATTGTTAACTAGGACAAAAGTTAACCGATGTACCTAAAAAAAAACCAATAGCCCAATTATATTAGATTTTGTTAAATCTTTGTTTAAACCTATTTTAAGTTAAGAATTTTTTTTTGTGGACAAAGCCTGGCCGAAACCGTGAATTATACCGATTATTAGAATAGTAACCTGAGCAAAATGTCAACAAAATTTTCCGGCCCATGAATACAAAAAAAAAGTAAACAATAGATGAAAATTATTTTCACTAGAATTAGTGAAAATAATACTCAAGAACGCAAAATCAGGTTACTATTTTACTTTGCTGCTATATAAGTCCAATTGCTATGACAGTAATATTATTAGTATAATAAAAAAGTTTGTTTTTTGTAACAGTATAATACTAGTTTACAGGATGTCTTAGTAGTCTCAATATTTATTAGATAAACATTAAAATAATAAAGTAATATTCAGCCATAATAACAGTTATAATTATATAAGCATTTATCTATCTATTTCTATTGTCTATCTCTTTCTCTATCTCTCATAGGTGTATCAGTAACAAGATGTTCATGTTTGTTTGTTGGTTTGCCATGTCTGTAAAACAAATTAAAACACACACACTCAAAGCAGAAAAATTTGGGTCTCCTTTGTTTTTTTTAATTTTTTTTTTTTTTAATAATTGTTTAAAAATTCTGTTTGTACAGCCACTTTGTAGCATGGCTTAAGAGGTGGTCATTTAAGAATAAAAATTGAGTATTTACAAAACAAAAAAGGTACTTGTGAAAAAAAAACGATATTATATATATATATTTGCAAAAAAAATTGTGCACTATCATTGCAAGAATTTTGCGGAATTTATGGTTTAATGTTCCAAAAAAAATGTAATAAAAAAAGAAGAGACAAATTATTATTATATGTTTATATAAATATATTGTAAAAAAAAGAAATAATTTGAATAGTATTATGTACAAATTAAAAACGTCCAGAGCTGGAGCGTTGCTTTCATTTTCAAACTGTTAGTTTTTGCCAAAAGAAAACATAAACCCAAAAAGTACTTACAATGAAATGTAATGCTTTTGCTAATATTTGAGTTCCTATAGTTTTTTGCAATGCTGTAAAAACAATCAAGCTCTATACTTTTAGGGGGGGAAAACAAGGAAAATACTTTCTTTAAAAAAAAGAAAAAAATGGGAAAAGTGTGTATGTTTACCCGTATGAGTGTGACTTTCCATATACAAGTAAATAGGCCTATGTGTTTAGCTACATTATTCCATTTACATCAAATATCCTACATTCTTCCAGCAACAACAAAATTAACAAACAAACAAATCAAAAACATACTGGAACTTTCAAACAATAAGACAAAATATTTATTTAAAAAAAAAAAATGTTTTAAAAGGAAAAAAATGATTTAATATTAGGGAAACGAGGGGCTAAAAATAATGGGAATACAGATCTCCAAAAATAGAAATAATATCGCTAGATTTTTAATTATTTACAAAAATGAAAACCCAATGCCCTACCGATGAACCTTGTTTCTTCAATGAATGTGTTAACATTTGGATGTTAAAAGCTCTATTTTGTAGAAATATGTATTTTGGCATAAGTTATTTGTTTATAAAACATAATTATGTCTTAATTGATTGATACCTTTAAAGCTAAATGGATATATTTAAAAAAAATATATAAAAAATAAAAAAACAACAAGGAACGATTCCTACTAAACTATGTTGTGTAGTACTATTGATGTATTGGAGAATAAAAATTTATTAAAGAAAACTAAACAGTTATTTTTGTATTTTTCTTTCACCTGAAAAACTGCTTCTGACATAACTTTTAACAGTTGAATTAGTGAGCTTCAGTAATTAATAGTTGAAAACAAACACATCAACCTAAGAGTGACAGAAAGAAAAATCTGAAGTACTGAAACACTGCCAAAAACCTCTTGCAAGTACATGGCTTCACGCGAAGACAGCATAACTCAAGTAAGAATGGTAAGCAGTCAAAAGGACTTGCCTAGGGTGACTTGTAAGAAACAAAGAATAAATCTGCAAACTCTGATCAATCATCACACCCAGTAATGAATAAGACAGTTCATAGGCACCAGTGAGATCGCTAAAATCTATATTTGTCATTTTTATTCAAGGACAATTCATTTCCCAAAAACCTTTTTATTTTATGGTATTTCTTTTAACTATTAAGGAATTGTAAAGTAGTTTCTGTTATTAAGGGGGGACTTAATGTTTAACTACCCGTTGGGTGTGGTGGACCACTTTACAATACATTTTTCATAGTATAATCAATTAAAAAGCCATGGGCTCCCAGGATTCAAACCCATGGCCAATTCGAGTTGGATACCCTAACCACTTCGCCATCCCAGTCATCTCAATCTGGGTTTAAAAAAAACATTCAGTTCCTCACTATTAAGGAATTATCAGCAATCAAAGTAGCGAGGATTTCTGGAAAAGCTGTCATTGGTAAAAATGAAAGAGGTGGTCCCAGGACAGATCCTTGAAAAACACTTGATTTTATATCTTCAAATTTTCACTTTCAACAAAGATGTCTTTACTGTGTTTTCCCTGATTTCAGGATGCAGTCAAATGCTTTGTTTTGGTCAATAAAATTGAGAAAAGACCTTTTTTGAGCATGTTCAGAAAAGTTCAAAATGTCCCACTTAATTGAAGGATGCCATTCCTTGGCTGTGTATAGAGAGCTCTTAGAAATGCCACCCGATATGAGAACGGCAGTGAGTATTTGTGCCAACTTTTTGTAGGAAATAGGGTGGTTTTATAGAATAGAGTACTGGTATAGTGTGTTGAGAGTGAATGTATTTATTAGCATGAATGTTTACTGTGAGCTGATGGCGGAACCCCATTGATCCATTATATTAGTTATATAATAGGTGTAAAGAAGTGGAATATCAAGTACCTCCACCACCCTATCTGAGCAATGGTATTGTAAGACAGAGGAACAATCTCTCTATTTGCTTGCTTTTCTCTAAGAGATAAGAGAGTAGTCGGCGTAAGTGCTTCACTACATGATCTTGTGTAGGGTGAGGTTCTAGAATTCAATAAACCAAAGCAAAAATATCTGTGCATCACTAGATAAAACACTGACATTTAAGAAACACATCAGCTCTACCATCACGAAGGCGACGCGAGTTTTGATGGTGTACAGAAGAATAGCAGGAAGGAACTGGGGATGCAGATTGGAAACCCTGCTTTAGATGTTCACCATGATAGTAAGACCCATACTTACTATGGAGCTATAGCCCGGGCCGATAAAGCAGAACAAGTAACTAAAAGAAAAAACTCACAAAAATACAGAGACTTGCATCTGCATATTGAGAACAATGAGAACATGTCGCACAGTTAGTATGGAAAAAGTATTGGGATTAATGCTACACCACAAGGTAACGAGGACAGCACATTATCATTAGTATCATCAAAGGGAAACCAACAATGGGAATAAAACTAAAATGGAGAGATAGCGACAAAATAATGAAAGACCATCCGATACTCATGGCCCCAAGAGACGACATGAACAGGATGTTTGAATTTAATCAAAACTTCCAAATAAATCCAGGTACCAAAAAAGAATTGGAACGAGAGGGAAACACCTCCTTCAAGAATGGCACCACCTTTTGGTACACAGATGGATCTAGAACACGAAGGGTCAGGAGTATTCTGTCTTGGAACCAAATACTCAGAACCCATGGGAAAATACACCAGTATCTTCCAAGCTGAGATTCACGCAATTGAGAGATGTACTCAACTCAACTTGAATAAAGGATACAAAAACAAGAACCTAGCTATCATGTCAGATAGCCAAGCAGCCATCAAAGATCACTAACCTCAAATATCATTAGTTCAAGGATGGTGCTGAACTGCCAAACCAAATTAAACAAATTATGCAGAACAGTCAGTCTCTGCTGGGTCCCAGGACACATGGGAGTAGAAGGCAATGAGAAAGCGGACACCCTTGCTGCTACACCGCTGACAGGACCTGAACCCTTCTGTGGCATAGGAACCCACGCTATCAATGAGTATCTCAAACAAAAAGAAAATGAAGAAACGATGGAATTCACTTATTGGACACAGGCAATCCAAGAATTTCTAACAAATTTCGGAAGAAAAGAAATTACAGAATGTGTCAAAGGAAGCAGGAATAGACTGCAAAACCTAATAGGATTCTTAACAGGACACTGCAAGCTAAACGGACACTTAAAGAAGATTTGAATAATCCAAGACAGCACATGTAGATTCTGCAAAGAAGCAGAGGAGACCAACACATCTACTAACAAACTGCAGAGCTACACTTGCCCGCAGGAGGAACTGTTTTGGGATGTACAATGTGACCACTGTACCACTGAAACCGGGCCTATTAATCAAGTTTCTTGATGAAATAGGACTCACCAGTGTGCTTTAGGCATAGATACAATAGCTCTTAAAGGGTGCAGTATATTACACCCCGACTATTACATCTACAAAGCAAAATCTTAATTAATCTAACAAGTCAGCCATAATTCTAAATCTGGGATGAGTCTATTAACAAAGGGACTTAAACAACGTGATCAGCATCTTCAGTGCCTTTTTAATTTCTTGACTGTCGACCTCATCAGATGAGTCACAACAGCTGATCCTTGCAGGCTCTGGCTGGCTGATTCCCTTTGTTCACTCCTAGATGGAGTGTGGCTGCTTCTCTTACAGATCTACTCCTGGAGTCGACTGTTCACTGGTTTGAGCCCTTGGTCTAGGCCTACCTTTGATTTCCAAATTATCCCTTTTTATACCAGTTTCCCTATTGGAGGGGTAGAAAGGAAAATCAAAAGTTAGGGGAGTTCTCATGCCTTGGGTGGACCAAAGGGGGGCCACGGTAGCCGAGTAGTTAAGGCGTCACACTCTCGGCTAGTAGATCCCGTGGTCGTGGGTTTGATCCGCACCGTCGCCTCTGGACTTTTTCTGACACCTAAGGGGACCGGTGGCCACAATTGAAAAGAAATTGACACGGCACTCATCAATGGAAGAAGCGGGATCAGATCTCAGCAACACTGAATTTGGTCCCAACCCTCTTCAAAAATGAGTTTCTTCGATGGAAGAACATCGGGGGCTCATATTCACACTTGTGTTGCGAGCCCCCAAAAATGGAGCCAGGGATAAAGTACAATAAGCTGTAGAGCTGCAGTGCTCAGGAGGGAACTCCTCCAGTCCCTGGTATCCATTGTAAAAAAAAAGAAAGAAAAAAAGGTAGATGGGGACCAACGGCTTAATTATTTCAGTGTTATGTTTCCCAAATTAGAGGGGGACGTCACGATATTCCCGTCCGAGTGACCGCCCCTTCCGATTTATATAATTTTTTGTGTGGTCATTTAAACTAATTTTTTTCTTCTTATTTTAACAACTACAACTTATTCGGAGACGAGAACTGACTTACAATATGTAAATTGAATTTACTTAAGGGTGAGCTGGTTTGAACCTATAAACTGATTGTGTTGGGATCTGAAATGACCTAGCTGTTGATATTCCCTGGAACCCATCCTTCGAGACTGGAAGGATTAGCCCAGAATGTGAACACCGAAAGTGGGTGATTCTCGAGACCTGTAATTTATTGTAAATTACAAAAGCTCGAATTTCCAGCAATCTTTGATAGCCTCTACATATGTGTACAGATTTGAGTATATATAAAATTTTAAACCTTTACCTTACCGCCGTGTCAACGCCTAAACCGGCCACCGACGCCCCCCCCCAAATATATAAATCATTAAAATCCCTCTTCAAAGCTATCCAATGCATAATTTACAAAATTCAAAATAGCATCCTGAACATTTTTTATTCAAATGTATAACAAAAATTTTCTGTAAAACGGACTTACCAAAAATTGGATTTATGCTTTGATGCCCTTCATCCATTTATTTCTTGTTTGACTTCTAAAATTAAGACAGTGTTCAAAAAATAAATAAATAATAAAAAAAATGAAAAAGAAATGACAGGTTAAAAACAAAACAGTGCAAAAAAGTGGGTCAAATTTATTATTTACAATCTACAATTTTATTCCATATCTCAACATATATGTTCTAATGCAGATGACAACAATAAGACAACATTGAGACCATTCATTGGACTATATAAACATTGACTTGTTTCACGATCACAAACTTAAAATGACTAAAAAGAAAATAGTAAACAAAAGAATAAATCTTATCTCAAAAAACTAAAAAAAAGTAGTATAAGGATTAAACTACAAAAAAATAGATTTTCTACATGCACTAGGTCAATACAATCTAATATCACTCCAAATAAATTGTTACAGGGTGAATTGTATCACACAGAACACTTTGAGCTTATTTGTTAATACAAAAGCTTCTATAAATTATGTCAAAACTGCCCAGGCATTCTGCTTGCACGCCATTAGTAAATTCAAGATTTTGAGAAATTATGACAAACCGTCATGAGTTGCATGCAGACCATTTTAACAATAAAAGAACCAAAAATTTAAATCAATATTTTTTATTTATTTAATACATATATTATTTATATAATAAAGTTTTACTCTCAGTTCTTTTACTAGAAATAATAGGTAATCAGATATTATAAAAATGATGATTCGATATCACAAGACATTACAAAAAGAGCCTTTCAGTAATGGCAAAAAAAAAATCATACAACCTAGAAAATATGTCACATGTCTATGTACAAAGTTTAAAAATGCCTTATTCCTGAGAAATCACTTGAATGCACGAACATTTAAAGATTGGGCAGATTAATAAAATTAGTTGCTAAATGAAGAGTTCCTTGATCGATTGTTGAAGAAATAACCTTGGGCTACGAGCCACTCTTTTATGCCGGGAAGGTTGGCAACTTTCTTCTGGAGTAGCTTGAGCTTTGGGTAGTCGACGACCAGATCCTTGCCGAGCATGAGTGCGACGTCGCACGAAAACGCCAAGAACACGATATCTGCCCAGGTCACCTACAACATAATTAATTAACTTATGAACAAATTAAAAAAAAGAAAAATCTCACCTTGCCGGCGACAAAGTAACCGCCATTTGACAAGATGTGCCTTTCGAACCTCTCCAAGTATGAAGGTACTAAATCATTCGACACAATCGGGTACAGTCTTTCTCTCTCATCGGGGTCTTTGATATGGTCATAGCTGGCCACCTCTAAAGAACAAAAACTTTCAGTTAGTTTAAAAAATAACAACCTCCTTTCTTCATTAAAAACATAAAGCCCAACAAATTTTCCTCATTCCGTGAAAACTATCCTTACGTTCTAACCCATTAATCGATCCATTACCCAATCATACAACCCAGTCAACTAAAGCAAAGATTGCCCAAGGATGTCATTAAAAATTAAGATTAGAGTAAGAGCCGACCTCTTTACAACTTGCGCACTGCGACCAGTATTGTTGAAATGTTCCATTATCTCATTAACTTAAGGCTTTTTATCAGATTCTTAAGCTTTTCCAAGGACTTCCATGTATTCTTTAGTCCCGGGCTTTCTTCTCCCAGTAGTACAAATCTAAGCCTTCATCCCAACAGAGGTTCCAATGTCTCTTCTTCTGCACAGACTTGTTTCTGCCGATCTGAGTCTACACATACTGCCGTAGTCTGCAGTGACCAGTTAGCAGTCCTAATTTTATTGGAATCCTAACTCGCCCTACATTTAGTAGTTCTGCCAACAAGGTATGTAATTCCTTTGTCCTGTATTCATTCCCAGAGGATGGAATATTTTTAATCCATTGTCTGATGGATCCATATTTTGATGAACCATTTTGCATGCCTTTGTCCTGGGCTTTCCCATTGAATGGAGGACTTAGTTTTTAATCCATTGTCTGATGGATCTAAAATTGACTATATATGCCTCCAGAGTCTGCCGTGCCTAGTTAGCAGTTCAACTATTATTCTAGTCCTAACTCACCCTAGATTTAGTAGTTCTGTCGTTAGTTTCGGCAATGGTACTTTGATGAACTTTTTTGCAGGCCTTTGCCCTTAGCTACATTCCCATTGAATGAAGTACTTTTTTAATCTATTGGCTGATGGATCCACAATTGTCTATATATGCCTCCAGAGTCTGCCGTGCTTAGTCAGCAGTCCGCCTATTATTCTAGTCCTAACTGGTAGTAGTTATTTTATTTTATGCAATGGTACTGTGATGAACTTTTTCACATGCTTTTGTCCTCCCATTGAACGGAGGACTTAGGTTTAATCCATTGTCTGATGGATCTACAATTGTCTATATGCCTCCAGAGTCTGACGTGCTTAGTTAGCAGTCCGACTATTATTCTAGTCCTAACTGGTAGTAGTTATTTTAGTTTATGCGATTGTAATTTGATGAACTTTTTCACATGCTATTGTCCTGGGCTTTCTCATTGAACGGAGGACTTAGTTTTAATCCATTTTCTGATTGATCCACAATTATTCTATACGAATTGTTGATTAAAGAGTTGTAAATTGTATGCCTATGTAATGTGTCTCTTATTCCCACCTATTTTTTTTACCAAATAAAACAATAAAAAAACTAAATAAATAAATAATTGTAATAATGATAAACACTCCAGTGAAAAATGCATCTTTGACATTTAAATATAAATAAAAACAATGTGATCTATTATTTCATTGTTATTTTAATGATGCTGTAATTAATAAATTTGTGCATTGAATCATTGTAGCAAAAATGAGGTTTTTTCCGTGCTTGAATCAAAGCTAATTTGATTCATCTGATCCCAATAAAGTTCCAAATTATTTTATAAAAGAATCGTAAACTTATTACATTAAAAAATGGCAATGCGCAAAAAGCAGTGAAAGGAAGAAAAATAATTTTTAAATATCAATAGTGATATGAGAAAATAAACAAACACAAAAAGAAATTTCTGATATTTATCTAATTTTATCCGTTTGTTTACTAAATAAAGATAGGAGATAAACAGCCCCTCTATTATTATCTCGAACTCACTCGATCTAAAATCGTAGATCATGTCGACCATTATGTCGGCCAACGTCGCCTCCCACTCGGTCTTGCCACACAGATTGAATCGTTTCGCCAGAAACCTGCAGATGGCCTTACTCTGGTAGTACACTTTGTCCTCCATCTCCAGGACAGGCAGCTGTGGCCATGGCAGTCCTGAACAAAATCAAACGTCAGAAAAGACGGGGGGGTTAATTAATTATTAATAAATTACTTACTTAATTTCAGTTCCTTCCACTCATCGAGTGACACTCTTTGGTCAATGAATTCGACTCCACCAAACGACAAGATCAGCCTTATCGGTTCAGCCAATCCAGTCTGGTCAAAATATGTCAGTTTACTTGTCATTACAATAAAGAAAGCTGTAAATCAAAAGAGATTTGCATTATTTTAATGAGGAGAAATTACGGCAGATCAAGCTGGAAGAACTACTGTGCATTACATGGAGACATTACATTTCTATGGTTTAAGTTTAAAAAAAATTGAATTAATTGAATTGAGAGAAGTGAGTGACAGTGATAGCGAGAGAGAGATAGAAAGAGAGAGAGAGAGAGAGAGAGAGAGAGAGAGAGAGAGAGAGAGAGAGAGAGAGAGTAAGTGAATGAGAGAAATGAGACAGAGAGTGAGTGGGTGATTGAAAGAGAGAAAGAAAATAAGAGAGTGAGTGAAAGACAGATTGAGAGTAAGTAAGAGAGTGAGAGAGAGGGAGAGAAAGAGAGAGAGAGAGTGAGTGAGTGAGACAGAAAGTGAATAAATGGGTGAGAGGAGGGGGAGAGAGAGAGAGAGAGTGTGAGTCATACAAAAGAATAGCTGAGGCAATAAAATTTTCAAGAATTTCTTTTGTTCAATGAATCCCTCATTTCACTTCACTACTAAAAAATAAAATGTCAGTTCCGGCTACTTTTTTCTTCTGTTAGGTATAACATATCTATTACTTAAAAATGAATGAAAAATAGGAAGAAGAAATGAAGAAAATGTCAAATAATTTTTTTTTAAACTTTCCTTTTAAAGAAAAAAATTGACTATATATGTGTATTATAATAGGTTTAATATTTTGTTGATTCACTAATAACAAAAGTTGTGTTGAAATGGTTTTTTGTACATATTTATATATTTTATTAACACCCTCTAAATATTATAGGATCACAGAATCTGCATTTTGGATAAAACATGGCATAACCCAAATTTTTCAAAAAAATGTGGGGTAAAACACGGCTGTCTCCTTTCACCACTGTTTTTTTCACTATATTAAATGATTTGTGTCGGTTCATAGAGGAAGTAATTTGGATAGAAAACATCAATGTGAAATGCTTGTTTTATGCTGACAATATTGCCCTCTTAGTAAGTGAGCCACATACAGTACAAAACATGATTAAAAAATTACATGATTATCGTCAGCTGGAACTGAACTACTTAGAAAAGTCAAAAATAATGGTGTTAACAAAAAAAGAGGGTGACCAGGACACAATGAAATAGTGTAAAAAAGAAATAGAGGTAATGTCTCGGTACAATATCTAGGGCTGACTTCGACCATCAGTTCTTGTACAAATTTCATTTCAATGAAAAATCAACTGCATGCAAACTAGGCATAGGTTCAATTTGGAATACCCTCTTAAAAAATGATCGTGTTCGTTTAAATGTAAAATATGTGTTTGGTTCTGTGAGCAGAGCTGTTATGTGTTACGGGGCTACAGGAAACACCTTGAAAAAGAGGTAAAATTCAAACGGTTGTAGGTTGAGATGAGGAGTTGGTGTCCGAGTGGATCGAAGTCACAATAGCTCCAGTGGTAGAGTAGCGGCGCATCAAGATGAAGGTCGTGGGTTAGAATCCCACTTGTGACACTGACTTTTTTATCTCAACCAAAAACCTTACATAAAAAGAATAATTAATAAATTAATCCATATTTGTTTAGTGGTCTTAATTGACTGTATTACTTACTCCAATTAATTATTCTTTTTATCTAAGGTTTTTGGTTGAAGCGAAAAATCACTGTCATGAGTGGGTTTCGAACCCACGACCTTCAGCTTAATATTTGTTGCTCTAACAATTTGAGCTATCATGACTTCAATCCCCTCAGACACCAACTCCTCATTTCAACCTATTTTCATTTGAATTTGAGTGGGCACTCTCAACACGACATGCAAGAATGGCTCAATTATGCAGAAAACAAACACTTTGAGCCCTGAAGATGATCTTAATAAAGACTGAAACATTGGCACGCTAAAGAAATTGTTTTTCTGAAACCTACACCACACCAGACCGCATCTTACGATTTCTGAATAATTATCGATTAACGGTCACTAATCACCACACATTTACACTTACTTTCATTCGAATTTTCCTTCTTTTGCCATATTTTCAAATATTGTATAATCAGGATTCGATTCTCAGCAACTTATGAAGTGGCCACGGGGAGATATTAGTGAAGTAATTACTTATTTTAATTATTAAATTAATCCATATTTGTTTGGTGATCATAATTGACCATATTCTTATTCTAATTAATTATTCTTTTTATCTAAGGTTTTTGGTTAAGACGAAAAATTAGTGTCATGAGTGGGATTCGAACCCTCGACCTTCAGCACAATACATGCTGCTCTAACCACTTGAGTTATCATGGCTACCATCCCCTCAGACACAAACTACTCATCTCAACCTACAACCTTTCAAATTTTCCCTCCATTTTGCCTTTTTTTTTTTTTTTCAAATGGTTGTAGGTTGAGATAAGGAGTTGGTGTCCAAGTGGATCAAAGTCACGATAGCTCAAATGGTTAGAGCAGTGGCGAATTGAGTCGAAGGTCGTGGGTTCAAATCCCGCTCGTGACACTAATTTTTCAACTCAACCAAAAACCTTAGTTAAAAAGAACAATTAATTAATCAATAAATCGGCTGGTTCAAGGAAATATAGTTACATTGCAAATCCAATTTAGACAGTTTCTATAAAAAAGATAGTTATGTAAATGATTTAATATGAAAAGTTGAACTAAGTTTTATGGCAAATTTATGTAATGATAGAATTGCAGCCAAATTTCATATTGGATGTTCAACTCGGCGGACATAATTACACGAATAATAAAAATAGTAGGTATTTTATGGCTAACTATTTAACATTAGGTTATTACATCTTAATTGCTGGGTAGACCTCAGGATCGGCTGAAGCATATTGAAATCATGTACCACTTCAGCCCAATCTTAAAATACTTCTATGAAAAAATGAAGTAGGAAGAATTTATTATTTGTATGGTAGCAACTGGAAAAATTTAGTTGCAAGCATGTAATGACGGAAAATTTTTAATTGAAGAATTCAACTTTTAGATAGGAACTTTATATTTATATTTTAATTTTTTTAAACTTATTTGAGTCAACACTTCTACAGATGGACAAAGTCCATGTTGTTTGTAACACAAGATTTATTATTGTGAATATTTAACATCCCTCTGCAATCCGAATCCAGATAATCTGAGAGGGCACTGTAGTTTAAGAAACTTTTTATAATTTTACACATATTGCACAGCCTAGTTTGACGAATGTAAAATATGTTAATTTTATGTTGAAACTAAGTTGCATAATAATGAAACTTTTTTTCTCAAGTAGAAAAATTTAAGAAATATAAAAAACCAAACATCAAATTAACTTTAAGTGTTATAAATTGCATGTTAGTTTTAGGGAAATCAAAAGTGTCATTAATAACGATGTAAATTGACGGAAGAGTAAATATAGGAGTGGGAATTTAAAAATAGAATCCCTACAAAAATCGAGATGGCCGGATCCCTGCCAAATTCACCCGATACTACCTAGGAAGTGAGACGCATTAGTCCTGGAACGAGGCCAAACGCTCATACGAGCTCACCAAAAATTTTTCGCACAATTAAAACCAAGTGTGGCATGTTTTTTTTCTCCTAAACGTGCGAAGTTGTAATGCAATTCCCTCTGACCCAATTTGCCTATTCCGGCCTTTTATTGACAAATGACTCCAATGAGATTAATTTAAGCCGGATTATTGGAGAGATTTTAAGGCATCGCATATGAAGAAATATTTAACAAGCGATTCGCACGTATTAACTCATAGGACAACAAAGCTTGTCAGGCGTAAGCTCACCTGCCTACGTCTCTATCTATTTTTAACCCGGGCTGTTATCTAACACAATTTCCTATCGTAATCGGATTTTACTTTTGAATGTCTGCACCCATTTAAAAATAGAAACACATACAAGGTCACAAGTTTTAAAAGAAAAATAAAAATGTTTGTAAATAAATAAACTTTATATTCTACAACAAAATATTTTTTTTAAACCATACTTTTAAGAATTTTAATAATAAGTTATAATAGATTATATTGTTAAATCTTTTGTTTAAATAGTTTAAAATAAAAATTCATTAGTCAATTTAGGAGAACAATGCAGCTTGCTCCAAATATTGGCAAGGTTTTCTAAAGACACCCTCTCTTCTCAGATTACCCGACCTCACTAGAACTTCATGGATTGGTGAATATGGTCGTTTGATATTACATCACTACTAATTTTAACTTGGCAGGTCACCAAAACCCAAATAAGTCAGAATTGACAAGTTTAACTTGACACATGTACAAATTATATTTGAAAATTTTATGTTAACGCTAGTTATGTTTACAAGCCTTGTGGTTCTGTGGAGAGTAAATAAGTTTATTGGCCAATTAATAGCATTTTTTGGGGGTAAAGTTAATAAATTTAATAAAAAACAGAATTGGTAATATTTTCTTATCATACTTGTTTTTCACATTTCATGGTTGTATTGGCTCAGTGGGAAAAGGCACTTTATATCGAGACTATATAGGTAATTTTGCCAAAGTTGACGTTTTGTAAATTATATTTTTCTATTGCACCTTAGTTTTGCATGAACTAGAAATTTCAAAATTCTTCCATGCAATTTGTCCTAAGTTATGTATTTATGATAAAATCAGATTGACACCAAGTTAGACAATGAAATTTCAATATTTATTTATTAGTGTAGGTTGTTTAGAATATTTTTTTTTCCTATAATTTGGTCGACCTGTTTTTTCAATGTTGAAGAGAATCAGGTTTATGTTCTTGAATGAAGTTACAAATTTATGCAAACAATTCGCCGAGCTTTCGTGACATCAGAATTATGTTAGATATTTGAGAAAGACAAATATTTTTAACAATTTCACAGAACATTTCGACCATTAAGTGTTTTTTCACTAGATTCTTTGATCATAGTTGTGGTTCTTTTTATGTTAATGGACTAGTTCATTTGGAGTAAAGTTGATTAGTTGAAATTTAAAATAAATAGTCGGTTTCCTTCGGGGTCCCTCTGTCTACGAGCAGAAATAAAAGGATGATGCGAATGAACCTGATGATGCGA